AATAATTATGAAATGATACAGTTATGTCATTTCTTAGAGCGGTTTTCAATTGAGTGACGTTAAATCAAAGTAAGCACTCTGGCCAATCACGAAAGACACAGACAATCCAATGAACCAATCAAAACTCGATACAAATACATATAGCTGACGCAAGGCGGGGGAAAACGTGTGCGAGCGAGTCACGGTTGGTTTTGATTTTACTTCTGATTGGATGACAAAGTGGTGCGTGTTTCTTAAGCCAATTGCTTACTGTGGTAACTCAAAACTAACGCAAATGCGTTTTGCAGGACTTTTGACACTCAAGTGAAAACTGCTCTAAAATGTTCATGTGAGCACGTTTTTATTATCACGTAAGTAGGATCTTGCATCTGGGGAGCAAACCTTACTCAGCTCTATTTCTTGCAGCGGTGTTAACTATTCCGAACATTCAAGCTGCTGCATTATGAAATCTCTCATTTAAAATGTCATTGGCGTCAACATCAATGGGTAGTGAATGACCATTCAAAAATTACGCGTCTTGTAGTCTTGACTTTATTCACGAAGCCGTCTCAAAGTCTCAATTTCTCTTGCAAATCTGAAATAGCGAACCTGCCGCAGAGACATTAGTTGTAAATGTACTATTTGCTTCCCCAACATCAAGTTCTTTTCAAGGTTCTCCCGGTATGCTTAGCGTCGTTAACGTTTAGGCCAAAATTTTAGCAGCATGTACATGTATCCTATATGATTTTAAATTAGGCATGTCGTCCGTGCATGTATCTCACTAACACTGTTTGCAATGTGGACTAACTCTTTTTTAAGACTAGTTTTTAAATGAATAACTATTTTATGGTCAAGTGCCCTGAGCAACCAAAGTTTGGTCAGATAAGCATTACACCACACAGATTTTCAAAGAAGATTTTTTTGTAGCTAATTTGTGTGTTGATTAGAGTACTTGAATATTCTTGTAAAGATAGTTTCTGCTAAAGTAACGAAAAGTACCTCAGTTTGATGTTAATTATACATGGGACAAATTCCAGTCAATGGCTACTGGAATTATGGTCGCAGTTACAGACAATTTGTTTGCTCCATGAAATATTGGTTATTTAACCAAAAAATTTATTACGTCTAAAACTTTCTTGGAGAAATAACTCAGTGGTTCCAGAAGGTTTGTTCGTTACATGTATCCTAAGGTTTTAAATTTGTTATTATCAGACCTAGACCTGGTTTAGTAAGTCAAGAGAATATTATTTAACTTATGGTGCTGCCCAGGGTTAAATTATTGAAAAAAATTTAAAAAAAAAAAAAATAAGAAGAAAACCAAAACAGCCAAAAAAGAAAAAAAAAAATGAACTTACTGAAACATTCTTGTGAAGGTCAAAAAATGATAATTTTTTATACTAAATTAAAAAGTGATGCAGCTTATCAATGGGTTAGTAAGGCCTAGTTCACACTAACGACATGATTGCCATGTCGGTAATATGAACATTGACAGACAAACAAGGAAAAGATCAGTTTTTCCTTATGTTGTTATGTTCACGCGGTTATGTTATCATGTCATTATGCCAGCATGATCACACTACAAACATTACCACATAACGTCCTTTTTGTCGTTATGTAACTAGTGTGAGCTAGGCCCAAGATATCAAAATTCTACAGCCTTTCCAAATACTGAGAAGAGAGTTAAAAATGCGACACGCAGCGAAGTATTTTTGACGAACTTTGAGGTGTTTGGAAATTTGGTCAAACACTGTCTTGAGTATTTAATATATCTTTTCAATCGAAACTAAGACTAAGGTGAAAACAAGGAAAAAAATGTTAAAATCTGTGCTAAATAAGATCACATATCTAAACACTCTCACTGTTATGATTTCGATTCTTTACAATTGATGAATTGTGAGTGACTTTGAATAACCTGTGTAGATCAGCCTCACATTATGAGGTGGAACTGGAGTAAAAAGTTGAGACACTAAGATTTAAATAGTTCCTGTCATGATTGAAATTGTAGGTCTTTCAAGACTTAAAATTCTTTTTACTCGAGTCGTCATTACGTCACTAGCTCGAATCGAGTTATAGAAGTAAAGCTTACTTGCAGCAGGTTAAGCCTAAATATGCACAGCATGTCATCATAAGACAATACGCCTGTCGTGATTGTTGTTAAACTCGTATCTTTTTACAGGAAAAAGGCAGTGCTAGCTTGGCTGTTTTTTAGGACAGTCGTCCGAATATTTTCTATTATTTTGGACAAATTGATCAAAGAAGGAAATATTGTTCAGTATGGTACAGTGAGGATGAGTGGGAGGTAATTTTTAAATTGTGAAGTTTTGATCAAGTGGTTTAAATTTTACGCAGGGCCCCTTTTGACACCAGCCTATGGCTGATGGGGCTACCCTGCCTAAATAAAGATTACTTGACTTGACTTGAGTGAGTGAGTGAAGGACTGCTTGTAAGTTCGTACATTCTACATGCTTTTAGCCTTGCCCGGGTCATTTAAAATTGCAAATGTCAATTTTTCTTGTACGTCTTGAAAAGTGTTTCACCACTGATGGAAACACAAGCCAACTTGGCGTTGCAGTTGAAAAGTTACACTCGGGTTGTGTTAGATTTTGTTGACGTTCCCTCAGAATACGTTTTTTGGTTGCTTGTCCTTTCTCTCTCCACAAGCCCATTGATGTGTTGTTCTAGGAAATATCCATACCCTTCCCGCGGAAGTTTTTCCGGTTGACCCGCATTCCCCCACCCCTCTAGATACTTTCCTTTGAATGTTTTGGCTTTTGATGACCTCCCTTGGGTCCCCTTGGAATTTCCAATGACCTTCCTCGTGAAAAAAAAAAGAAAGTAAAAAAGGCCATTTATTTGATTTTGAAGAAAAGAAGCCAGTTGTAGAAGACAATCTATGATTAGCTAGGTAATAAATAATCCTAAGATTGAACGTTATATTTCACACTACAAATCGACTGTGATGCAATCCTTGCGAATAAGGATTTATTGATATTCTGAGCCTTGGAAGTTTTTGTAAATAAATTCAATGCAAGTAAACAAGGTGTGTGTAGTTTATTTTATCAAACTAAAGTGTACGTTTTTACTCGATACTCGATCTCTAGGAGCGTGCAACTCCCATACTAAGCCTATGTCGCGACATTTTACACACCGTTCTATTTTTAGGCTTCTTTTCCCATGAAATAGGTTAGTTCCGGTCTACATGAGCGCGCATCGGTGAGGAATTCATCAAAACAAGTTTAGAACTTGAATAAAACTACCTTGATGAGAAATGGGCTTTCCCCACTGGGGATAGGAAAGATACGAATGAAAATAAACATAAAATAAAGCGATATTTATACCCTGATCTATTTTATTGTCGCAATCTTTTATTTTCTACGATAAGTGCAGAAATTCCTGCGGGCTCATTGGCTAATTTTCGTTGTCAATAGGCGGAGAGACATATGAATGTATCATTTATGAGATGCGTCAACGAGTTAGAGCGGACAATTTGACAATTTGTTATTATAAAAAGAAATTTACGTCTTTTTTTAATGCGTCTGTCCTGTTATTGACAATGAATTTCGTCATAACATTGTCAAAGTAGTGCTTTGACAGCTACTTTGACAATGTTATGACGAAATTCATGAACAACAACAGGACAGACGCATGAAAAACTGACGTCAATTTGTTAAATAACTGTGTGTCGAATTATTTTCTGCAATGAGCACTCTCAATACATAATCACTCAAAACAAAACATGCCTGCAGAGGCTTATCATACATGTTGGCTCGAACAACCTTTTTTTCTTAGATCAACTGAACTAGAACAAAATAAGAACACTAGCCTGAGTCCTGCGCATTCAAATATTACGTGTTGTCAGAATCTTTTACCGACTGGTCCGGTTAAAGCGCCCGTGTAGAGATATCCAACCCTGGGGCTTGGGGGGGGGGTACTTGGGTCAATTTTTGCTAGGTATGTATATGCTGAAAGTTAACAGCTCAGGTTCTTGAAACATTGGACATAACCCGTTATGTGATATTAAGAAGATGTACATAACAAAATGATAAGCGAGTGGGTAGCTGCCTAGATTTAATTATCGTGTAACAAAAACAATAAGCAAGGTTTGGTGGCGACATGTAACAAAACGATATACACGCGTTTATTTCATTGGTTATATTCTGCTATGTTAGAAAACATACATATAACGAAACTATGCGTATATATACTCGCTTATAGGTTGATACCGCGATACGTAACAAAACGGTAAGCGTTTACTTCGTTGCTTATATTTTGTTATGTTACTAGAAAACACATACAACAAAACTGTAAGCGAGTATGTTGTAAGATAATGGTTTGACACTGACTATTTTTTTGGTGTATGCGAGTATGTATTTGCTTATATTTTGTTAAGTGCTAAATTATTTTCTCGTGGAATTCACTTTCTGCATTATTTATTTTGTTATAATGGAGGATTTTTAGTGCGTATTAATATTTTGAGGGTGTAAATAACGTCTTTGTTTATGCTCTTTTGAGACTTCTTTTTAAGATTAAAACGCTATCAAAATCTAGTGTAAGTTCCAAAGATTTGAACGGCTTTTTATGGGATAAATCTTTCTTGGTTTGCGACTTACCAAATTATCCTTATCTTTATGGTATTATTATTATTATTATTATTATTAATATTATTGTTATTATTTAATACTCAATTAATAGTCAGCACCTCCCTTTTATTTTTTAACTAAGAGAAAAACAATTCTTCGCCAACAACTTAAAGTGTAACATATAGTTATTTTACAGCAATTTTATGTTGCACCTGAAAGTTGGCCGTGTGTCATTAAAACACATTTATCGAAACCAGTATTTTAATGTAGCGGTAAAAAAGATGACTAGCACTATATAAAAGGACAGAAGCATATCACCTATTCTAGGTGATATGGTTCTGAAAAGGACGAAAATGCTGACTATATGAAGCGATAAAATGACTATATATATCTGACCCTATCAGGACCAGACAAAGATCGTGCAGTAGTTTCATTCTAAGCGTAGCAGGTACATGTAACAAACAGATTATCTCTAAAAGCCTCAGCCAGTCTTGTTAGATACAGAAAACACCACTGTACTGCCGGGGTGAAATAAGCCATTTTGGTCTTTCAGGAAACAGCAGGAGGGGAAGTGTACCCTCGCGGTCAATTTCTGAACTGTCGTTACAAGCACTTCTGCTTAACTAATTAAAAAAATGCGTTCAGTTTTATAGTTAATTCAGGTATTATCAAGTAAACTACCATATGTTACCACCAGCAGTTTTGATAATTGCCATTAACCATCTATGTTTTGCAAACAACACTTGCATCGTCTACGTGACCACAGTTATGTATTCCCCAACCACTTCGAGCACAGTCAAAAAGCGAAGCCTCTCCTCCTTGACACCCAGCTTCCTCCATCCAGATGGGACCAACTCCCTCACCGTATGCGGCATCCAGAGGAGCAGAGGAGGCGTTGGAGAAGCCAAGTTGGCGGCACACCACGTGCGCATCATTGATATCCCAGGAATCACGACACACTGTGCCCCAGATTCCGTTTACGCAAACCTCCACACGACCATAGCTACCATTACCATTTGCCAAGCGAACTGAAGAACACTCTACACTGGCGTCTTGACTGTGGGTACAGTTATGTTTACCCCATCCACCGTGACTGCAGTCGTGCAGCTGCGACTCATTTCCAGAGCATGCCAAGTCATCCATCCATATTGGTCCAGAGCCTTGACCATGAGTAGCGCCGCTAAAGGCTCGAGAAGCTTTATAGAAACCAAGCTGTTTACACACTACGTTCGCTTCTTTGATGTCCCAACCATGATCGCATATTGTGCCCCACTGGTCATTATGGAGGATTTCAACTCTTCCAGACGATGGCGTACTACCGTTAAGACGGAGGGAGCCATTTGTAATTGCTAGTCAGAGCAGAAAATAAACCAGAAAAATGCTATATTTAGTGAGCGTTGGTGACGTCCTAAACTGAAACTTGTCACGTGATAGGAGCCACTACTGTGTAAGGTGCAAAGGCTGCATGTGTGATTTATAATGTTCGTTCCAAACTGAATTTTGTTACATTAATATTACGGAAATGAATTGCAAAAATAGATCGATCAAGATCATCGAAAAGTTGGCTATTCGATTCTGTCGAGTGCAGTGTGATAAACCGTGTCATCACGAATGTGATAACAAGAAATAACAGCAGAGGCAACAGAGAGTTGTCATATACCGTCTTCCAGCCTGAAACATAGGTGCAATACAGCTTTGGCCGTTGCGGTATCCGCCACCTGCATAGAAAGCTATCGGAGACCTCAATTTTAAGCAGTTTATTTAGTCTTTGGGAACTACGATGTTCACGATACAGTCACTAATGAAGTCTTAAGCGCAGGAAAGAGTTCCGCAACTCTTTAGAAGAGCCATATAAGGATACTCTAATTGATGATTTTACTAATGTATTGATCGATTAATTACAATGGATGGTTGCATGGTTGGATGGATGGATCGACTAGTTGATAGACTTATTCGTATACATGACTTGGAAAGAGTGAATGAATTTTTACACTTGAATTAACATGTCAAATTTTTATCCAATCAAGTTGAAGTAGCTTGACGCCTCCATTTGTCACTTGTATAGTATTAACAAGTAATGAAATGATTTTTCTCTTGTAATCGTATCCAAAACACAATTCTCGATCGTGATTGGTTCTCCGCCTGCGTATTTGTCACGTAATCGGTGCGCGATCGAACGGGTGTCCAATTACAGGTATCCGATTTTACTGTTCCCTACGGTTTTTACTTTTTTTACTTCTTATGGAAATCACTACTGACTTTTTCGCTCAAAAGAAGTTTGCAAAAGACCTTTTTCTAACTCGGAATTTGTCATTGATACGATTAATTAGTAATCGGACCTCGTGTCGTACAATTCAGGGAGAAATCGTGCTCGTAATTTCAGATAGGCCTTGTGCTTCGCGCTCGTCCGATTTTCAAATTTCTCGTCCGATTACCCGATTAAGGGGCCGATTACTCCCTGAGTTGAACTCCACAAGGTACAATTTCTATTACTAATTTGGAATAAATAGGCACTCGTAAATTTTTCATAAACTGCAAATTGCACTTGCCCTGCGGACTCGTGCATGTTTTGTAGTCGTTGAAAAATTTATTTGTGCTTATTTATTCCAAATTGCACTCGAAATCATTTGATTACTTATAGTAATTGACTTACCTCGGTATATTGCTGAGAATCCTTCTGCGCCTTTGAAGATCCCATCAGTTGTAAACGTTACATAAAGTTCGCCAGAAGAACTCATGATAGGCGGGGGGAGAGAAGATTCACTAAATCTGCCAATGAGAGGTGATGCAGCTGATTTTCCATCGTACACGCTAACGTAATCAGCAGAAGAGTCCGTTTTAAAATGAAGGAAAACAAGTTCCAACTTGGCGTTTGAAGTGAAATGCCATCGGCAATTCGCGTTGATACTGTAGGAACTTGCCGGATACTGACTTGACTTAATTGTTCCACCTGACATGGATGTCTTGATATGTACTTCTGGACATGAACTAGTCACATTCACGAACAATCCTGCCAAGTAACAAAAAAAGTGTTACAGAAAATTCAATTTCAAAGAGGGGCGGGGTGCGGGGGGCGGGGAGGGGGTTCCATGGAGCCCTAGAGCTCGGAATTTTTGCCTCTGGAGCCCGGAGGCCTGATCTTTTTAAGGTGCGGAGCCAGGAGCCCAGAAAGTTTTTTTGTGGAGCCGGGAGCCCAAAGTAATAAAAGGCAATCATTAAATAAATATCTTAGTTGACCACTCCCCTAATGGGGCTTTCCAGGGTCAATGGAACCAAATGATGAAACAAATAATACAAATGAACGTAACATAATTAAAAATCCAACTGGCGGGAGGCAGACCAGTTGGCTATTTTCAAGCATGACCGAGGAGTTGAACTAGGGTCTACCGAGAAACAACTCCAGCTTAGAAGTCAGAGCGGGACTTGAACCTGCGACCTCTGGATTTCAAGTCCGGAACCCTAACCACTCCGCCACGCTGCCTCCACAATCATTGTTAGTATCCAGTCTTTCTTGCTTTGGGGAATTGCGGTTCGTTCTGATTTCGGTGCAAAGTGAAAGTAGTTGTAAACTTTTGAATGCCAAATGTTTTGGCTACCCAATTTATAAGAAACGACACGGAATAATTTATTGTTATTAACGACACGGAATAATTGACTGATCGAGGTATATAGCAGCCTACCCATACCAACCTGTTTCACAACGAGTTCCACTATATCCGGGAGGGCAGCTACAGTTGTACCCATTCAGACGATCTTTGCAAGTTCCATTGTTCAGACATGGGTTACTTGTGCACTCATCGACATCTATTTAGGCAAATAAAAAAGGGTGAATTTACTGTTATGGCGAGAAGAATATCTGAACATTATTGGACACCTGATGCAACACAAATACCGGACCATCTTTGCACGCGTCTTAATCTTCTTAATGACTTATTCAATTGATATCCCATGATTTTCTACACCGACGCCTTTTTTTCTGTTTGTATGGGATTCTAAACCAAGGGATTGAAGAGGTTACACGCATTCACACGTTACTGATCAGCTGTAACAATCAGGTGCGCACAACGAGCCATTTTATCTGAATATATCTAGGATTATTATGGCTACGAAGAATTCTTTTCTTAGTTGATGGCAAATTTTAACCTGTTGCTTTTTCCTAGAAGGAAAAAAAACCCCGAATTTACAGACAATTAACACACTTGGGGAAGTGTCCTAAGGGCCATACCTTCAACTTTACTTTGTGAAGGAATCGGAGGAGATGGGCGAATGATTGACGTGTTCTGGGGCTTTATTTACGCCTTGTCACGGTGGATGTGAAATATGGAGAATCAGACTGCAGCGTTTTAACCACCCTGCAGCAGCAGGTACAACTGACACGTGAAATAACTAGGTCCCAGCTTGAGATTAGGCTAATGTTAGTGAGTGCGCCTGGAACAGACATCCCAAGGAACCAATTCGTTGCATGGCCCCTAAATAATGCTTTGGTTATTTCAAAATGACCCAACTGCTTTCGCTACTGCCTAACGATAGTTCATTGCAGATCATTCGAATAAGTTCTCAAATTGAAAACTCTCCGCTGCACATTAATTCATGTTAAGATATTGACATGCAGTCGATGTTCATCATTTCACTGAAATCAGGCGAGTAGCTGCGGTTAATTCCAATGTATCAGTTCCATTATTCAGTGAGGGGTTGCTAGTGAAAATATATGTTTCAAGCAACGGTTGAATCAGGCTCAGTAACATTATTACAGTGAGGCTTGTGGGCCTTAGAAAAAACGTTTCCTTAGAAACTTTCACCGAAAAGACGAAATTTTAGGATTGCAATAGCTGACTCAAGTTCCAAATTTCAGGTGGCCTTTACAACTTGCGTTCCTGTCTGAAGATTCCTTCATTTGTACAAGAAGTACTGCCGGACTTAAACATTTGCATGTTTACATCAATGATCACCTATAACAATTTCTACGTGTTAAAAATAATTAAAGAACTTATTATCACAAAAGCGAACCTTGTTACATTTCGCGTAAAGATATCACATTTCACGACAGTTTCACGTCACAGTTCCGTTGGCTTTACCTTTCTCGCATTGTTCCCCACTGTAACCATCTTGACATTCACAAACGTATCCTCTGGATGTAAATCCATTCAGACAGGTCGCATTATGAAGGCATGGATTACTGGAGCATGGGTTCTGAGAAGAAATTGAAATAAAGTGCTTTAGTTCAAGTCTGGCTAAAGTCTGGCTAAATTACCTCGAGTCAAAACCAAAAACAAAAATACAGTGGTTAGTTTCATTTCCTTACCTCAGTGCCTCTATATATAAAGCCTTCCCGGGCCTCAAGATCTTTAGGATGCTGTATGTGGTCAGCGTCATTCAGTTGACAGAGAACATTGTTTTTAATTGGCGGACCAATGTTGAAGGATACACATTTACTTTCCATGGTACAGTAATTGTTACATTGACTTGGTATATTTTCCACCAAGTATATGTTTAAAGAGATATCTTTAATCACGTGACGCTGCAGTGCATACCCATCGACCGGTGGGGAAAACCTAAGATGTCGGCAGAGACCTATAAATAATAACAATAATGTATTCATTTAAAGGAGTTACTTCACGGTACGCGTATCTTGAAAAGTTTAGCATAATTTTTTCAAGTTCGTCGTGCAGTAATTCATGTTGATCTTCTCTGTCTTTAACCATCCTTGATCGTCTATGGTTTATTATTATTATCTCTTTGGTGTTGTTCTTACTTAGTAAACTACTATTTTCAGGTTTCCTTCAATTTAAAGATAATTTTGTACGCGGCCAAAATAACTCAAAATGCTGTGACTGATCTCCTTTAATATGAGTTTTTGTTACTCTCTTTTCCAATCGTCTAAGAGCTTACACTGAGTTAAGTGTTAGTTTCATAGAAAACTGGGCAAAGCCAGAAGATCGAGGTCGGACTTTTACCTTCATCTCTTCAGAGTATCAAAGCTAATCGAAAAGATTTACAACCATGACATTTGTCAAGGGAGGCATTCGTTTTTCTTCGAGATATCACCACATAATGATTTTGGCCGCTCAAGCAGTCCAAAATAGCCGAAATTCCGGGCAACTCTAAGCGAGCCTAAAAATACTTCGTAACACTTCTAGAAACCCTTGAATTTTGGGGACAATATTTGCCCCCTTATTTGTTGACTGAGAAATATTAGATGTTCTTCACTTCAATACTACGGTTTTCGCTAAGTGGCAAAATATATCTACCGAATCGGTAATGAGCGTGACACAAACTTTAGCCAAAATCAGCCATTTTCGGCGGGTAGTTTTACAAAATTGCGGGAGTTCATTTCCAAAGTAAGAGATTTTTCCGATAATCCCTTGCAATATTATCAATATCCAGTCTAGTTAGAATTGGTATCCATAAGCAAATCGGAGTTATTCGTCTCGCAAGGTCCTATTAAAATCTCCAGTCAGAAATATTTCTTCCAACTGTTTTAGCAAAGAACATCACTTTATTTCGACATTACTGAAAGATCTCCTCACAATAATTGGTTTGACTGCAGGATATAGAATATTCATTAAGCTGTGACATCGTTATTAACGCATGCAAACATTTCAAACTCGCCAATGCCTTACCCAGTAGGTAGGCTGAATTAAACTGCGAAAATTCTATTTTCAACGTCACGCTCCATGGAAAAACAAAATAGATAACCAGTTCGCTGATGGAGGTAACAACAAAATTAAAATTTCGCTAATAGACACACACAACTCTGGAAATTAGCGCACGTAGCTAATAAGTAACAACTTGTCAACAGAATATTTCAAGAAGTCTTTGCATGTTTACGCTGGAAATTAGCCTACACGAAACATGGAAAGTGGAAACGAAATATCCGAAACGAGCGAAACCTCCAAAACGACCGACAAGGACTGCTGAAGCGGCGGAAACGAGCGAAACGAAACAAAATCAGATTTTAGAATTGAGAGAAACATAATTTATCGAAACCACTATCATTTTGAGAGCTAGCCGTAAACAGGCTAACCTGAGGAGTAAACGCCGGCTCGCTTTTCATAGTAACTGGAGTAAAACTATGCAGGTCTGGAGTCTGCTTGCACCGTGGCTAACCTGAATTGCGTCTTTCTGTTTCTCTGGTGTTCTAAACATGCTTGGTTTATAGTTTAGGGTTAGGGTTAGGGTTGGGGTTAGGTTAGGTTAGGGTCACGACAGGCCTATTATGCTCCAGCTCCAGATAATAGATGGTAATCATGATTGAAAAATTGTTCTTTTTGAGTGGACCTACGAAAGACAGTTTGTAATAAAATTGCGGTTGTGCTACTTTGAAGTAAATGTCTTGAACTATGACACTAAAAAAATTAGGCGATTTTCATTCTTCGATCCGGAACTACTTTTTTGTGGAGAGAGCTTCTCAACAAGACAATTTTTTGCGATTTCCCCTATTCAAAACCCTACGAAAACATAGTACACGGCATTAAAGTATATAAGGTAACCATACTATTCTAAAAACACAAAATGGAGTGAAAAAATATTTTTCGAACTCACCCTCCACACGTGTGGGATAAAACGTTATTGAAATCCATGACACGAAAAGGAAGAGTATAGAAAAACGCATGGTCACATCACACGAATGTATTCCGTTGTTTATCAAAAGATAAGCGAAGGTAATGATGAGTTAGCCACCGTAATGTGTAGGCGAGGCTTCAATCAACACCGACTGATGAAAGGTGGCGGGATGTGACACTGCGATAAAAAATATACACTGTTTAAAGTTGTATGGGCACTTCCCTTTGTGACAGGTTCTGTTTAACTTATGTTTGATTAATGAGCAAATGAAAGTATTTTCTTTTGGCGTGATAACTTCGTTTGTCTGTTTTTGCAGTTTTTTCAACAATATTAGTAAAAAAGCCTTTAAGTCAAGCTGTCTGTAACAATCACATGGAATGCCTTCAGTTCAGAGACATTTTCTAGTTTCGTGTCTTTGCTTTATGGAACAATTTCACATTTTTGGGCATCTCAATAACCCAGTGACGTATTTAATTAAATTTAACGTTTACATTACGCATTGTGCTGACTCACGAAGTGAAAAGCTAAGTCGTTCTATTTCGTACATAAACATGGAAAGTGATCTGACAACCCAAGATGTGCATATTGCTGTCCACCTTTGCTTTCAATGCCACTATTATCACACATCTTTAATTCGCAAAAAAGACAAAGATTTAGTGTTTGCTTGAGTTAAAACTCATCGTGATAAAAATATCATCTGAAATATGCTCATGGATAATTTGAATAAATTTACTGTCATTAAGTTATTAAACGTACTACTACACGTTAATTATCAGAGGAGCAGGTATTTTCCTGTTCAGCATGTCAAAGCTATTAGCATGCAAATTTACACCGGGACAGTTGCTAATACAATTGGTTTGCTCCAAACTCTAACTTGATGCACTATTTTCAAAAAATCGATGTTGGCATATGTTTTCCTGAGACATGCCACGATTCAGTTTGTAATTATCCCCATGTTTCGAAATTAAATCTGATGCATTTGTTTCTAAATGGCGTCCAAAATTTGAAAAAGAGCTCAAAACGATAAATACTAAATAAGAAAACTGTTCTCTACATAAATTTCACCCTTTTGCGGTTTTTCTCTACAAACATTATTAACTTCTACAGTGACCAGTATTGGAGATCTACCCGTCAACAGTTCTCTCCATTGTTCGTTATTCTCAATTAACAGGTAAAAATTGCTGACAAGTATAATTTCACTCGTGCAATGAAAATGCCCTTTTAACATTGCAACATGGTATAATTAGCGCAAAGGAAAATTAATTCCAAAACAGAAGGCTGCAAAAAATTAAAACAGTAATTTTCTGTTGGAAATTAAATTTTGAAACATGATTGAAGCTAAAGTGGGTTCAACTAATATTTCGTAATTATGTTCAAATGGTAAATTTTGGAAAAGAAACTTTTTTTCGTAGTCTCATGAAAATTCTGTTAGAATTCACCATGATTCTCAATTTATGCTTAAATTCGTCTCTTTTCTAGGGCTCCGTCAACATTACTGGAATTGGAAAAGGGAGCTTTATTTCACCGGTTAGGTCTACCGTCCACACTAATCCATGACGAAAACGGAGCTTTTCGAAAACGCTCTTCAAACCGGAGGGATTTGAAAACGCCGGCTTTGCGTTTTATAGTGTGAACACGAAACATTTTCAAAACGAAGCTTTTCGAAAGCGATGAAGTTACGGTAACCGTGATATTTCCCTGGCCGTGTGTTATTCAAATACAATTCTTAAATAACCAGTGATTGTGGCCTTTTCAAATTCCTCCGGCGTATGGAGGGCGGAAAACGTTTGATGCGTTTTCAGAGTGAAACCTCTGTTTTCAAATTCCTCCGGCGTAGTGTGGACGCGGTCTAAGCTGAAGAAGTTTCTGAAAAGGTGTCAGAAAGAATCTTACAACGCTTGGGATGTCCGCTACCTTTTTCATTTTATGCCACCCGAACTACGGCATAATATGTCTAGAGACGCGTACGACAAGTAAGTAAACGAGGATTCTTCAGATCACTGTTTCTCCACCTCTAGTGAGGATAATTGGAAACCTCTTGGGATTTTCATTTCACGGCACTTCTTACAGGCTGTATAAACAGAAAGGCATATAGCAATTAATAATTATTTGTCGCATAAAGTTTCCAAATCTGTCAAGACTCTACTTGTTCATTCAGCTTAAGGACGTTCGCTCGAAAATTTTCCAACACTGATTTTTTCTGAGACATTTATCACTGTAAGATGATGAGTTACGTTATGTCAGAAATGTAAAAAGACATGGGGGTCACCGACTTCGTTTGGAGAGAACACGCCCGGAAGAACACCCTAAATCTGAAAAAATCGGGCTTCGTTAGCGAATAAGGCCACAGTGTCTGTAAGAAGCCCAAAAGTATTGCAATTAGATCTTTGAAGTGAAATGTTCTCTGCCAAATATTGTTTAAGTGGACCTATTAAGTGAATTTAGTCAACTGGTGAGGTTCCTTAAAGAACAAGTTCGCATTTAGCGACCATAGATTCACGCGCCTTGCAGCCGCAAGATGGAAGGATTCGATGTCCCGTGGACAGAAATCTTGAAATTTTTTAACTTCCCACATTGATTTTTTTGTTCATTTTTGGACAATGTGGAGATAATTGTAAATAAAATCTGTTTCTGGAACGTCCGAACGTCCAAGATTGTTGAATCCAGGCAAAGCTATAGCAATGGCCATCTGCCCTATCATTTTATTACTTAGCGTGCACGCTCATGCATGACGTGGCGTGTGAATTTGCGTGCGCAATAAGGATGCGCAAAAACAATTAGCGCGAACGTCCTTAAAACAAACAACAACCGAAAACTTTTCTTATATTTGGTCTGCCCTGGAAGTTAAGGGTTCATAGAGCTAAACGACAGTAAACGGGCAATGAGTCTGGTGTTGCTACATATTAACATAATTGTTTAGGCCGTCAAATGCGTTTTTTTTTTTTTTAGTGGACAGCAATCTGGGAAAATCCCCAGATTTCAGTGATTTCAATCCACCGGGACAAAGGAACCTACATCCTATGTTTCCGGGAATCAATACTAAGAATTCCAAATGGCGTTCAGTTATGACGGACGGTAGAGCACCTTTCGCAAACCACGACGACGACGGCGGCAACGAGAGAAGGTTTAATGAGCAAACAGTAACTGTGCGTTGCAGGTCTTTATACATTTCTTTGCCGTCCTCTGCAAAACAAGACGGAAATGACCAAGTTCTGCGTAGTCTGAGCAACGCGAGCGACGACAGCTGATATTTCGCATTTACATTTGAAATTGGAGGCTGTCAATTCATATTTTGCCTGAGCACGTTTTTAGAACCATTGGCGCACTGATCAGATCTGGACAATCGCGATTTTCGCTGTTATTCATTTTTGACTTGGCGTCGTCATCGGCGCTGCCGATGCTCAAGCTCCCTAGTACTGTGACAGACTGCCAGGGAAAAGACCCTGGGAACGAGGTTGAGAATTTTCAAATATCACGAGTAGTGACTGAAAATACTATTTCCAGTGTTTCGATCGGTGATAAGCATTTTCTAAGTTCTTTTGTAATCCGATCTGTTTTTGTTTCTCGTCTGAATCTCCGGTGGCTTCTCTCCACATTCATCAGAGTTGCAATCTTAAGGTTCGTTATTTCTCGCGCTAAGAGCCCGTGTGCTGTTTTTTTAAAATCAGCGGTAAGTAAGCGCGAAAGAGCGGTTTCCTTTCATTGACGGCAGAGCTGTCCAAATTTGAGCGCTACGACTCCAAGAAAAGCCTCTTGTGATAGTTGGTGACGCCATGTTCGAGGATCTGGGCCTCCCTTGGGTGGATATTCTGATCTTTGGACTTAGCATGATTCACTGTTGCTCGCGCGGCCTGGATCATGCTCGGTCCCGTGCAAGCTCCACGAGCACTTGCGGTTGGCCGATGAGTCCAAACTTGTTACTTTAGTAATAAGCCTGTGCCAATCATGACCTCACAGAACGCTAAGATGACGTCATATATCTTTCAATGTTCGCCACTTGGGATCTGCCATCTTCCATTTTTGGTTGGAAGAATCAGGAAAAATATAAAAATACAAGAATATAAGAATTTGAAATATAATCGTCATAAGATCTAAATTCGAACTAAAACAGAAATTTAAGCACCAAATTTTTGAGTTAACACCCACGGTTGATACACCAAGTGTTTCCTGTTAATAATAAAAAAATAATTAAGTAAATAAAATAATAATAAAGTGAGAGAGCTTGACCATTGGAGCATGAATGCTGTTTTTTGCAAGAAACGATTAAATACCCCTCCCCTCTCCCCAGGCTAAATAAGGTTAAATGATAACCATCCAGTCTTTAAATTATGTTGATCGATTGGAAACGTTTTAGTGATTGTATGTCCACTTTGAGGCACTGCTGGTGTATGGACGATGGAGATGGGAGATATACCTCTTACTAACCTCGTTTTCTCGGTCCGTGCTGTAAGTTACGGACCGAGTTTTTTAAATCGAAAGGGAAAAAAAGAGGGTCCGTACCTTACAGTACGGACCGAGAAAACGAGGTTAGTAAGATATTCATTATATCTCTACTGCTTTTCTGACGGTCTCAGGAACGATTTCTATTCACGCGGAACGACTTCAAATTTCTGACGCACCTCGAAAGCAAAACGAGTCAATTTTAAATCGTTTTTAAGTCGTTAGCACGTTTTAATGCACAATTTAGAGTAAAAGAAAGTTTTAAACTTTTACTTGCTATAAAATTTAAGAAAACTTGGCGATAAATCACAAAACAGTTTTGCAACAAAACCAACTTTAAATTTTAGCGGGCCGTACAGGAGAGTACGGCCCGCTAAATTGACCAATCACAGCGCGCGTGCTAACTAAGAGATATAATAAAAAGTATTTACGCTGGGCTGCTGTTATCCTTTCACTTGCTTTCGCGACTGAAAATAGTTAAGTCGGAAACTTAAAGATCAAATACTCCAGAACAAGAGGGGAATATATTGGGAATATATATTCAGTTGCAAGAAATTTATTTCCCAGTTGAATGCATCAATCAAAATAAACAGAACAAACAACACGATAAAACAGTACTAGCTTTTCATATGTTTTATTTACCATCACTTTATCCTAAAACTTCACTAGTTCCAGGTGTATTTAAAGTATTCGGTTTTAAAATCAAAGAACTTTTGAAAGGGTCGCTATCAGGGAATTTTGTTCCATTTTTTGTCAAAACAGTGCTATAAATATGATTTAGTACCTTCACTCGCCTGCTAAAAGCTCTTAGAGCACCAACATAGAGCAGTATTCATTTGAGGGTCGAAAGATAATTGGTTTTGCACTGGACTTCTGGTTTTGCATTACTACTTGACACGACTGGCTTAAAAAAACTCGCGCCATATTTCGATCCAATCAGAAGTAAAACAAAAACTAGCCATGACTCTTCCGCATATCTTCTTCGCGCTTCGCGTCAGCTAAATGCATTTTACTTCAAGAATTGATTGTCTGGTTTTTTTTCATTGGATTGCTGTATAATTTGTGATTGCTTGAATGATTACATTGGTTTTGGTCTTATGATACTCAATTGAAAACTGCTCGATTAAGCTAATTGAGGGTAAACTGTAACTAGTTTTTTGTGGTAGTCACAACAGCAAAATATGAAAAGGTCCATCAGACCTTTTTCAACTTCACTCATCACAGCCCTCTACCAAACTGATGCTGATCATGGTGTCCATAACTTTTGTAATGCTGTTATTTTCACAGTTAAGACTAAATATACTAGAGGGACATTAAACTCCCTGTCTTATTTTACCAGTCTATAAAACTGCTATGAGCGCTTTTACAGTATAATAACAATGTACAGCTGTTTTCTGTTCGCCGTCTTCTGTAAGGGGCTTGAATATAATGTAAAACAATCTAGGCCACCAGTTAAAATTCCTCTTCCGTTTCAATTGTTTTCTAAAATCGTCGCCGTTTGTGCTCTTTAACGAATATATTGCTATAGTTTTTAACTATTATCGCCATTGCTACTTTATTAATAAATTTCATAGTTTCCCTGCCGGGATAACTGTGTTATAACCATTTCATATATTACCTTAACGTAACGTAGTCTAGAGGTTAATCAATCTTATTGATCTTCTGCCCCTTCAAGCGTTTTTCAAGTATTGGATTGGACGTTGTCCCAAATGATACCGCGTCATCACTCCAGAGAAGTGTTTTTTTAAATTAACGTAAGTACTGTAGATGCGAAAGTCCGTTGCTCTTTTGACTTTCCTTACCGTTTTCAGTTTGTGCAAACGTCATGACGTTACTCGAGGCTGATTATTGACTAAGTCGGTTTTCAATCAGAATTGCGCAAATTAAATTGACTGTTTCGTTACAGTCCATGATCGTGGAAATTTTTTTAATATTTCACTCGTGTAATAAGTTTATTGTATACCAAAATTACTTGGGATCGAACTAAGAGACCATCGGACCTTGGTCTTTTACGCTCAGTTCATTCGCGAGAATCTCGGACTGACGTTATCTCTTTAAAGCCTTTGCACACCACTAATACGATGTAAGAAACAGAAGCTAGTATATGTGCAATTCTATTTTCTTTCGAATGTCATTTGAAGTACTATTCTAATTGATTAGAGTAATCCCGCTCAATATAAAAAAAGTGATTACAAATTAGCGTTTGAACTCAAAGTTTAGGTTCACTCATTGTGATTATGATTTTCTTTCGTTAGACAGTGCCACAGTAATAAAGGTTGAAGTCATGATCAGTGTTGAGTTAATTACTGCCACAGTAGCGTAAGTTACAGCCTGGTGTACCACTTAAGAAGTAAACATAGAAAGAGCCACAGTTTCTCACTTGAATGTTGGTGTGCAGGTTACAACAGTTTGAATTCCAGTGAAAGCAGACTTTCCTGATTACTTTGCCGTCAGCCACTTTAGGATGTCCACCACTTAACCAGCCGGTTTGAGCAGTGTTACACCTCCTTGATTTTGGACATAAAGTGGGCATTTTTGTTCCCGCACTTCCTTGGAAACGGTACCAGTTAGGACCAAGTGAACTGTCACATTTGTACTTCACAGTGGAGTAGGTCACCTTTCTGTCACCACTCGTCAAACGTTTGTAGTTTTGACATTCTGGGGACCAGATAGAAAAAAACAGATTAAAAGATAGATTAAAAGAGGTAAACAACAAACCGCCTTACTTTCTGTTTTTGTTTTTGTTTTGTTTTGAAACCTGGTAAGACTTGAACTTATTGTAAATCCTGCGAGATCCGTTTTCATAGCTTTAATATTCTAAGAGTTACAGGGCGAAAGGTTTAAAAGTCCCCCAGGTCCAAGCTTAAGAAGCAATGCTGATGTCACCATTTTTGTCCTAGATTCAACTATATTTATTAAAAATAGAAGCGGACAAACGGAGGGGTTAAGAGAAATAGAGAAAAATGAAAGAAAAAAAGGCACTATTTTATCACAGTTTACGGCAAATGAAAGAGTCACATTTAAACCAAAACAGAATATTCACCTGAAGTCATTTTGCACGTTTTTCCATCTCCTATGTAAGGCTGATCACACGAACATTTGTAGGACCCTACAGTGTTTGTACATGAAGCTGAACTATGGCAGTCGTGTACACCGCTGACGCACTCATCGATATCTGTGGAGGAGTAAAGAGGAACACAACAAATTAAAGAAGGCAAAAATCAGTTGTTTTGCACACAATTATAACAAACACTTACAAAAGTGTTTCATACAGTGTACATTGAACACGCAGAAAATACAACCCTACACCTCCTGTGACATTACCTTTTTCGCATTGTTCCCCACTGTAACCATCTTGACATTCGCAGAAGTATCCAGTGGCTGTAAATCCATTTAGACAAGTCTCATTGTGAAGGCATGGGTTACTAGAACATGAGTTCTGAGAAGAAGAGATTGCTCTATTTCTAGACATACAGTTTGCCTTAATTACCTTGGGTGAAAACCAAAAACAAAAATACAGTGGTCAGTTTGATTTGCTCACCTCAGTGCCTCTATACATGAAGCCTTCTCGGGCCTGAAGATCTTTAGGATGCTGTATGTGATCTGCGTCATTCAGTTGACAGAGAACAATGTCTTTAATTGACGGACCAATGTTGAAGGATGCACATTTACTTTCCATGGTACAATAATTGTTACAGCGACTTGGTATGTTTTCCACCAAGTATATGTTTAAAGAAATAGCTTTGATCACATGACCCTGCAGGGCATACCCATCGACTGGTGGGGAAAATTTAAGATGTCGGCAGAGACCTGGGAATGATAATAGTACGTAAATGTATAGTACGTTGTACTCCTTATCTCGTTTCAGCTCTAAGAGCCTATAGTGAGCCCTCAGACGTACATTTCCCTCGGCGTTCTGTAGAAGATTAGATTCCTTTCGCTGGCCATCACTCATTTCATGTCACATGAAGTCCAGCATGTTGGATCAACCATCTTGGCTTTCACTATGCGATAGAAAGTTAACCGAACAATGATAATGAAGTGAAATGAAGTTAAAAAAAGAAAAACTAATTTTGCAATGTTGTTCAAACTGGGATAAACTAACAATTCATTTCAAATTCCAAATAGACGACATTTAGCTTGACATGCCCGCGAAAACTGTGATTGCCGTGTCAGTGTCAAATAACACGGAGACTGAAACAGTTGACATATCAAAATTATTGCGAGTGATGAATAAACAGCTAATGACAGTTTCAGCTTTACGTTCGGACAGTCCAAAGAATCGAAGGGAGATAACTGTTGATCTTAAGTCATACAGCATTCTTGTTTCCCAATATTTGCTTTGCATGCCGGTGACAAAGGACTTGTAGTTAAAACTTGTCCTAACAAGGCAGAAGTTCTGAGGTTTGGCTTGCACGCACACGGGGGTACTCACTACCAGTTATCCATGGAGATGCTAGTCCGCAAGCAGACGTCTATCTACTTTTGCCTTTGTTTGAAGCTCTTGTCACTCAGGAAAAACTGTAGTACGTCTTTAATCCCGGGGAACATTTAAGGATAAGATTGGTGAGATACTTTACAATGTGCAACGGCTGGTCGCTTGGTTGGGCATGAGATAAAAAGCAATATGTGCACATGACAGGTTGACTGATCCTAATTTTAGGTAGACAATTATTTATATCTATTTTCATTGACAAAGCCGGGGAAGACAGGATGACATGTCCAAAGCGTGCTCTGTAAAACGAAGATATAAACGTAGCGATGGCAGCTGATGCCTTGTTCTCTCGAGAAAGGTTTGTTGCGGCTATTGCTAGGCATAGTCTCTAGCTTACTCTTAGTAAATGTAGAAGCCGAGATCTAGAAATGACGCTTTGTTGTGTAGACGTCGGCTGACATGTTGTCGCAATCCAAGGCGTTTATCTGCTTTTCCGTTTCTATGTTGCGGTTTAAGAGAGTCACGCGTCACAGAAAATTGGGAACTAGTTTAGGCCAACATCACACGGTTCTCCCAGCGAGAACCTTTTACAAAGTACTGTAAACTATTTACGATGTACTAAGCTAATTTAAGGCCCAAAAAATGAAGCAATAATTATAACTTTTTTTCCTCATACTGGATATTTTCAATAGACAAAATAAGACAAGTTAAGACGGTATTGTTTTCGTCCCTGTGATGTGAAGTCGCTGCAGCAGCCAGAATATTAATCAAAGTCTTTTGAAACCGCAGTTGGCAGATATGGCATTTTAAGCTTATGTGTACAAATGTCAGTTTCACCTCTCCCGATTACAGTGAAAACCAATTCTTGCACTCACGAAAGTGATCTAAAACGCTGGGTCTAAAGCCAAGAATCAAAATAATTATGTATTCTTACACTGGAATAAAGGCCTTTCATCAACACAAACTCAGGCAATTTTAAGTTTTTGATGTGGAATCTAGAGGACCGCTCACGCGCAGAGACAAACTCCCAACACGCGAAAATTTCACGAACTTCTTGAATCTTCAAATTAAAGTGCAAAAACATATCTGGTAGCCGCGCTATACATTAAAAGCAAATTATTGGGCAATACAGGACATTTTGAGACTCACCCTGTGCAAGCGTTGGATAAGGCGTCGCTGAAATACATGACACGAGAACGAAGAGCAACGAAGAGCTCATAGCTACATTGCTCTGGACGTCTTTAGTTCTATCTTCTCGCATACGGAGAATTCAAGGATATTGTTTGGTTACTAGCAGCAGTGATGTTAGCGGAGGCAAATGAGAACACCGACTATAACCTAGAGCAGTGATGTTGAGACACTTCGGTTGACAAACTTATTTACTGTGGCGAAATATTGTAAGTAATACCTAGATCATGGTTGTAATAGTACAGTTGACGTGATGTTTAATACTTGTCGCAAATTGTAATAACAGCTGTCGGGATTTCAAAATCTTTGTAACACATTTATCGAAAATCTTAATACGCAATACATTGTCGAAATTTGTAATAATCCGAGCTGTCGTTAATCGTCTAAAATTAATAAGCCTAAGAGGACATGAACAGTTTTCCAGAAAGTTCGTTTTATTTATTTTTTTTCAAATAAAAGTTAAGGATGTTGCACAGCGTATTTAAGCTATCCAGCATCAGTTTACCTGCCTTTTTTGAGCCGAACTCTGTAGTAAGTCACTCTATTCGCCACTGACTTATTAAAAGTAGATAACCCTCCACCCCACCACCCTGCGTCACTCCCCTCTTTCCTTTTCACTTATAGCTACCAGACCCCTCTATAAGACGCGCCAGCAGAGAATCTTGGTAGCTGTATTCAACATAACAAGTTCAACACATACCATACATTGTAAATCCCTACAGTCGTGTACCATAGAGGCAATTGGACTTTGGGAAGTCACAGTCACAATAGAGAAAAATTTCTTTCCCAGGGAACATGAAAGAGACAAGAACGAACGCAGAGATAAAATGACGCGTTATTTCTACTCTGTGCTATTTTATTATTTCAAACTGTTCTTTTGGTTTCTATGACACTTGTAAGTCAATATTTTCTGC